GCTTCAGATTCTTTATTCCACTCAAATTTGTCTTTACAATTCAAATGTGTAAGTGGAGTTGCAACTTGAAAGAAGTCTTTGATGAGGATCTGATAATAGTTAGCAAAGTCTAAAAAGTATTAGACATCTCTTATCATTTTTAGAATCTTTCAATCCATAATCGTTTGAACTTTCTTACGATCCATCATAAGTCCATCATTTGAAATGATGTATCTTAAGAAGTCAACTTGAGTAGTGTGGAATACACATTTTTTTTTTTTTTTTTTTTTTTTTTTTTTTATCTTAGCATAGAGTCCCACATCTTTTAATTTTTGTAACACACGATGAACATAAAGTTCATGTTCATTTGTATTCTTAGAATAGATCAAGATGTCATCTAAATAACAAACAATAAAATCATCTAAAAAATCTTGAAACATCATTCATTAGATCTTGAAAAGCTGTCAGTGCATTTGTAAGTTCAAAAGGCATGACGTTGTATTCAAAATATCCATATCTAGTTCAAAACGCAATCTTCTATTCATCTCTTTTTTTAATACATACAAGATTTTATGCTCCCCATAGGTCTATTTTTGTATAGATCTTAGCTTGATTGAGTTGATCAAGAAGTCCGGATATCAAAGGTAGACGATACTTATTTTTGATGGTGATCTTGTTGAGTCTTCGATAATCAATATACATCCGCAATGATCTATCTTTTTTTTGCACAAATAAGATTGGAGCTCCTCTTGGTGATTTGGAATGGTGTATGAAATTCTTGGCCAGATTCTCTTCAATATATTCCTTGAGTTTAGCCAATTCATTTTGTGATAAATTATAGATTGGTCCAAATGGCAGTTGTGCTCCTTCTTGAAGATTAATTGAACAATCATATGGACAATGTTTTGAAAGATTATCTGCATTCTTCTTCTCAAATACATCTTGAAATTCTTCATATTGGCTAGGAATACCACTTGAAGTCTTTGTATCATTAGAAACAAGTGTGGCATAAATGACATAAGGTGATCCTTCTTTTACAACATGCAAGAAAGCTCTTGTACCTACAAATATAGGTTTAATTGCACTAGACTTATGACTTTCTATTGGATTAATTTCACTCTTAATTATGCTTTTAGAGAAGTCAAGGATATGAAAAATCCAATCTATGCAAAGATTATACTTTTTTTTAACCATGATGAACCTAAAATGATTAGATTAGAGGGATATTTAATTACATTAAAGATTACACAACTACTATGACTATTTATTGCTACATCTATAGGAAGTGTTTCATGAGTAACAATCTCAAAAGATAATGGACGACCATCTATGACTTCTACATGAACAAGTTTGATTTTTTGTACTAATGGTATTTTATGACTTTTAATAAATTCTATGTCTAAGAAACAAGCTGAGGCTTGTAAATCTATTAAGGTGGAGGCTTTTTAATTATTAGATCCTATATGCATATCTATTATAAAATAAGAAGAGGGTTTTTAAAAGAAGATAGGACCTTCATTAAAAATTATGCAAGATTTTAGCCGCATGGTCTCTATTGTAGTTGGACAAATTTGTTTTTTGACACATTATCTTCTTTGATACATGTGCTCCTCATTTTGTAATTTCGTTGCTTCTTTGGACAATGTTGAGCAGTGTGTTTAGGTTCTCTATAATATAAGCATAATCTTTTTTAATGGCGACAAGTCTTTTCTTGCTCGATAAGAGGTTTAAAATGTACTACATCAATTTACATATCCTCTACTTGTGAATATATATGTTGAAGAAACATTCGTATTGCCATTGAATGGTAGTAATTTTGAGGCCTATTTGTGCAACTCTCAGATAAAAATTCAAAAATTTGATTGTCGCACTTCACAACAAAGTCAATTGCTTGACTCAATGTTTGAGGATCAAGTAAGTTGAGCATCAATTTCTTTACTTCATATTGTAATCCATAGAAAAATTGGCTAATAAGTGCAGCAACATTCCACTTGATATCAGTTGTAAGTTATTAAAACTGTGAAGTATATAACATTATAGATCGATTGTCTTATTGCAAAATACGGATCTTGTTGGTTGCAACACGAGTTGCATCATATTCTCCATACATGGACCAGAATTCCACCAAAAATACCTCTAGATTATCCAATATTGGATCTTGTCGTTTAAGAAAAGATAAAAATCACAATAATGCTGAATCTGAAAGAAGTGTACAAATGAATCTAACTTGTGATCTTAGAGTTGGATAGCTTTGAGGTTGAAGTTCAATCACAAGTTATACTTAATTCATAAATCCTCAAAATTTGGATCTTGTACCATTAAACTTTTCGGACAAAGCAACTCTTGGTTGTCTAATACTTGAAGGATGTTCCACCATGGGTGGAAGGATATGATTTGGTACAGATGTTGAAGTAGCTCTAATCATCTCTATATCCTCACTTCTTGCCATTCTTGTTGATCCTTGTAGTCGTAAGCTAAGTTGATGCATCGCAAGCATCAACTCACTCAATTATTCTTGCATTTGTACCATTGCACTCTTTATTTCAATAAGCTTTGTCATAATAACACTCAAAAAAATATCTAATATCACTCAAGATAAGTAGAAGAAAGGATTTGAGGACAAAAAAAAATACTAAAAATAATATCAGTTTAGAAGAAGGTAATCTGTAACTTCTAATATGCTTATGTCTTATCATGAGAAAGGCGTAATCCACTCTTAATCAAGATAAGACAAAGCTTTGATATTGTAAGTGTACTCTTGTCAATCTGTTAAGGATATAAACTAAAAGATGATGCATAAACTAATGAAATCCATATAAAAAAAAAATAACAAAATAGAAATAAGGAAGTACATATATTAGAAAGAAACTAGAATGGCTTATTGCCAAAAGACAAAGAAACTTGAGACTCTTGAAACTAAATTAGAAGCAAGAAAGGAATTGATAAGAGTGAAGAAGGCTTCACTCTTATCTCTATATATACTATCTAACTAGGAGCTACGTGGCGATGTTCTATAAGACATCTAATATGTGTTGACTTTGTAGAATACATGCCTTGACTTATAAGGCAAGTTTTTCTACGTGTGGACCACATAGTTAGCTTGGTCTTTAAGCTAACAACATGTGTGGCACATGGTCAATTTGTTGACGACTTTTTTAAGCCAAAAAATCAATTATAGAAACCTATAAAGTCAAAGTAACATCTATAAAGCTTCTAGGAAGCTAGTATAGAAGATATTATAGAATTAACTTATTTTTATCTACTTCTACTTACTTCTATTTATTTATATAGGAAATTACTGGCTTACATGTGTATGTTCATGACATAGAGAGTACAAGATTTTGATTAAGAAAAATAGAATTTAAAAAAAATCTAAGAGATCTACTTTAACATTTGGAGAGTGGAGATAGAGTGCAAGCTAGGATTTAGTAACTAGAACATTAGAAGTAACTTGTTAGAAGAAGAAAAAATAAAATAAAATAAAATAAAACAAGAAAAAGAAATTAGAGTAGAGGATTTTGAAATTAGAAGAGAGATTGGAAAAGAGATAATTGCGAGTATGCATTTTGATGCATATATTGGTCACTTCAAGAAGAGACCGAAACTAAGGTGTAATAGATCAATTGGAGGATAAGTATAAGAACCACTAAGGCAGTTCTTACCCTCTATAGCCATACTCTCAAAAACTTGAAGAGTCTTCAAGTGGATTTTTTTAAAACTCTAAAATTATTAATCTAAAATTAAGACATTTTTTAAAAAATAATCAAATATATTATAACATATATATATATATATATATATATATATATATAATCTATAATATAAATAATCAAATATTATATATATATATATATATATATTAAAAAATAGATTATAATAATATAATTACTTCTATTGTAAGTATTCAAGAATTAATAGAAATTTATTCAAAAGCTACTTATTAGTTTTGCATATTAAAGAAATGCATATTGGTAATAATTATTTATTTTTAATAAATTTATAAATAATTTTTTAATTACACATATATATTTAAAATTTAAATTTATAGTGTAATTTTTAAAGATATTTCCCAAATTTTAAAATAATTTAGAATAGAAGTTTAAATATTTGATTTTTATTTAAATTTATTTTTTAAAGGTATTTGTGTATTTTTAGTATTTTTTAATGATTTTTAATATTTTTTTGTATAATACTATAATTGCCTCATATTCATCCATACTTCATTGTCTTCTCTCCTTTCTTTCTCCTTTTTTGGCCAAATGCATAATCCAGTGTATCCAAATGATGACTTATTTTATATTTAGACTTTAAAAAATCCCTTTCAGGTTTGAGTGCAAGTTTAATTTAAGTTAGGCGATTAATTTTCTAAAGAATACTTAAATGTCAAAAAATTGATTAGTTTTTTTTCTAATAATTGTAATATATCATTATATTTTTCTTTTCTTTCACTTAGACGTGTGTTAAATGTAAAAAATCACCATTAGGTATAGAATCATAGTAACAATTATTAAAACATACATGTGTATAATATAAATAAACTGATTTGAAATTGATTTTTTTAAAAAATAGAGAATATTCAAAATTTGTAAAGTACAGCTACACAAAAATAAAATGTAATTGAATATAAATACTTATATAAATATATGAATGCATAAAATATTCTTCTAAAATATGTTTAACTAGTGTAGTTCCTGAAGACTATTTTTTATGTTTCTCATGTACTTATCAGTTATCTTATTTTTTCTCCAAAAAAATATTCTGCTCATGCATCAAATCTTATATCAACTATTGTAGCAAGTCTCATCTAAAATACTTAATGGATTTATTGATCAATTTAATTTTGATATATATATATATATATATTTTAATATTACTATTCTTATTATTATTACTATTTATAAAAATATATAGGTTATGAAAATACTAGTGAAATCGATTCTTCGATTTGATATAGCTTCAAGTAATTCACGACGCAGAGATGCCTCGGTAATTCTATCTTTGATGCCCGAAGCAGTGGCATAAATGCGATTTTTTAATTTTGAGGGCACCGATCAATAGGAGTCAGAGTTCCTTATCAAATCCATTTGCTGATTTGGTACAACTCTTTAATGCCGCTGCTTTTAATATCGGTGCAGGTCTTGGTGTACGTTGCAATGTTTATGACTTTCAACGCAATATCGTCCTTAGTTTCTGTCGATGACGGTGAGCCAGACGTAATTCCAAGCTTTCAAAGGCAAATTGGAATTGAGAATTATTATCTAAAGTATCCTCTGATTTAAGCTCTCAGTAGTGCTAACGTTTTCGTAGTAATTCTTACTGAAGAAATTTCAAGTCGGTGAAAGCGACAGAGGTTTTCTTGAATGTGACTGCCGATTTAGTTCCTGTCCATTGACGCGAAGTGATGTAGAGCCTACATCCTTAGAGTTTCAACCACGTCAATGTGTTCAGATCCAATCGTCTTAAGTCCATCCCAAAGATGGCGATCAATGAACCTTGCTCAGTATTAGATTTTTTTTAATAGCCTGCATTAGCAAGTTGTATGGAGTGGAAACTGAGACAATATTAAGCTTTCGTATTCCTTGTGCTGTTATGTGTGGCGATGAGCTTGTTCAGATTACAGCTCTCTCTATTAAGTGCCGTCTCTTTGCGTTTGTTGGCGAACCTCCCTTCTGTGTGCAAGATCAGGCTGTGAGGCCCTGTACTCCGCTGTTACTCATTTCATAAATTTACTCAAGTATTGACCGATTAGCAGAAGAGATATTGCTCAGTAATGTTACAGTGTAGCTTCAGCACGCGAAAGTTCCTTTACGTGTCAGCAGAGCTTTCTGTTTAACTATTTGAATTTCTCCTGTGCTGCGGAAGTCAAATATTGTAGGATAATTTTCAGAATGGGATGCTCTACCTCGAGAGTCGACAACGAAGACGCAAGAAGAGGAAGCGATTGATGAAGCAAACTGTAGCGTATCGGCGTAACTTCGCAGCTTCACAAGCGAAATTAATTTCTTCTCTTTCCGACAATTTGCAGAGGGAGAGGAGATAAAGGATGCAGGGGCTAACATGATGTGTCCTCCGGAAGCACCAATGACTTCGAGGACAGTTGTCCTGTCACCAGGCCCTCCTCCCTTGTTACCAGCGTGGTCCCTTACATATGGTTTTTCTCGTGACTTTACATCTTTTCCTCCTCACTCATCGCTTCAAAGAAATCCTTCAGCGACACGATCACTTAATTCAACAGCTGCTAGTTCTCCAGAGAGTTACAGCATGGATTTCTTGCCGCCTCCTGCTCCTTTTATTGCGAATGAGAACCGAACGGCACATACTCCCCTGTCCGTATCAACCAAAACACATACAAGTTAGAAGGCATTCCAAGTTCTTGCGTACGAGGATCTTACAAATTGGAGGACATTCCCCCTCTACCTTTGGTTCAACCCATTCAACTCGATGATGATTGTAGATACTCCTGTCTGACTCTATCACATGCTGCCAGAGAGATTAACTCTCCTCCACCCGTCGCCAGTCGGTTAGTTGGCAGGATTTGTTTGTAGATCCATTTCGATCTTTATCCTCAACATTCAGTTACACAGAACTCAAAAGGAACCATGAAATGGAAGCAAGGGAATGTCAGGAAATGGGGGAACAAAGTAGACAAAAGTTTTAGCGGAGACAGATACTGAAAGTGGACTATGGCGGGATCAAGACTTCACACAGGAGTAAGTTCGCCACACTTGGAACGCTCAGATGAACTTTCTCTGCACGATGCTTTTGCGTCTATTGGTTTCTCAGAACTATACCTTTTGATATAGTTATGGGACAGATCAGTACAATCTGACTTGAACTGGGATTTTTTTACCAGGGTTGACATACTTTTATTTCGGTTCTCAAAACCGTATTCTCCTTCTGTTCGAGTTTGCGTTCTATGTATAATGGCTCACTGGACTCGAACGGAGTGAAGGATGTTCAGACATCAGGAACTCCAAACCTGAACCTGAGAAGCTTCCAAAATCCTTATCGAAGGTTCAGGACCAAATATCGACAAATCCAAAATCAGTGAACGCAGTGAAGGCGCCTGTATCGAGGAAACCTTTGAAGCTCGAACAACGGGAGAATACGGTTTTGAAAACCGAAATGGATCTGGCTGTTATCAAGATGAAGAGTAGTGATCGGAACCTGCTCGACGTTCTGACGGAGGTTGATGATTATTTTTTGAAAGCTGCCGAAAGAGGAGAGGATATTTCACGCATTCTTGAGACAAAGAAAATATAATATAATTAATTTTTTCAGGTATTTTAAAGGTACTTTATGACTGTGAAGTGAAGGGTGAATCTGCACGGATGAACTCTTGGACCAGTATTAACACTATAGTGTTCTTAATGGCGATTCCCCGAACATCAGAAGTATTAGCGACGTGAGAGGTGCAAGGTGGTCTGAAGAGTGTGGACTGATTTGCAGCCAATCAGTATCAAGAGTTCCTGATATTTAAATTTTCGACATGCTGTAATTATTAAGGTGGGAGTCTCATTGAGATTTATGTTATGATGTTCACAGAGCTGACTCATATCTCTGAATATGATACTATGGGGTTTTTGAAATCTGGAGGCAGAGGCTCTTGAAATCGACTTGGAGAAAAAATACTATTTGCTAAAAATCCCAAGATGCAAAAAAGGAGGATGAAATTAACACAGACAAAACTGGGACGAGTATAAGGGCTTTTTAAATTTAAATGGTGGTAGCTATTCAAGCCGTAGATGGTGCCACAATTACCTCGTGAGTTCTATTCAAGAGATGAGAAACTGAATCCACAGGTTTTGGAGTTGCTGGAAGGGTGGGTGAAGTGTTTATCATGTAACATATAGACGTCAGTTTAGCAATACTAAGTTGAACAAGAGTGTTTCTGGAAGCGTTTGTCATCTCCAGCATGTGTATATTAGTGCTGATTTGAACCAACGTTCAAGGTATTTTGAAGGTATTCATTGTTGTCTTATCGTTCATACTGCAGGATGGGAACTATGTGGAGGGGCATTATCTTTCTGCCATCAAGCTCAGTTCAAAGCAGTTAAAGCTATGAATAGGCTCGATATCTCTGCTGCCTGTAAACCAACTACAAGCTTTCATAGTGATTCAACAGCACAACTCGAACTAGCTCTTCAGAGGTCAGCTTGGTTCTTTTTTAAAAATAATTCCGCTCTTTTTCGGTTATCGATTTAATTTGCATACAGATGTGATTCAATTTGCAACTTTTCGATTCCTCCTTCAAGCTGTTCAATTTTCTGGTGCTTACCGATTTGAATACACTAGTTGCATGTGGAACATGGCTTGGTTTTTGATTAAAATCTTATGTAGGATTGTAAGGGAGTGTAATGTGTTGCTTTATGGCTGTACTTGATAAGGTTGCTGAACTTGGTTGAAAAATTTAGCTGTAGGTGGTCGGAAGGTCTGAGCTGATTTGTTGAGTAAGAAAGAGAATAAATGGAGAATTTAAATACTTGATTGAGTCTAAGTCTCACTAAATATGGGAGTAAGGAGGTGTAAACAATCTAAAACCAATTGGTGTTAAAAAACTTTTTTAATTTTAGTACCAAAATGGTATAGTTAGTTCTCAAATAGTTTACCAGTAGATAATAGTTGTTGGACATCATTACTAAATTGTTAGTGGTTATAAATTGTTAGAGGCAATCCCAATAGAAAAATTCACTTCAATTGGGAAGATATTACCAACTAGAAAGAATTGGATGTTTAAAGAATAAAACATGTGCTTCTAAATTAAGAGTTTTTTTTAGTGTTTTGACTAAGTCTTCAAGGTTATATAAGAATAGTAGTAGATATTTCTAAGGAGTCTAAGACAAACAACAATTGGAGTAAACTAGATTGCCACAAAGATAAGTGGTTATTCAACTAACATTGAATTGTTGTTAAGTTTTCAAATTGAAGTTAATAAGTATTGGCAACACTATTAGAAAATTAAATTAACTTGATTCTTATTGTCTTAGATCCAATTAGCATGTCATAGTAACTTGTGATTGCTGTATGCAAGAAAGAGTTGGATTTGCAATTGAAGTAGATTCTTCACTTGGTGTTCAATTTTCCTATTGTCAAAAATCCAATAGACTAATGTTAACCATTGAATCAATAAAACACTAATTTATATTAGATTTTAAAGTTAAGAGCCTTCTAATTGGATTTATAATTAATTTGGAGAAGTTTATATAAAGATAAAAAAAAATAATCTTATTGCCTAAATTAGTTATTAATAACAATTAGTTTAAATCTAGTGCAAGATAGTCATTTGGGTAGTATGGTTATATTTGTTGCAATTAATATCAATTGATATTAGTCACAAGTCTCAAATTCATAAAAAAAATATATTAGTCTAAACTAATTGATAAATGCTTTTGTTAGTCTTAACTTTCTTCATTAATAATTTTCTTCTATATGTTTAAACCTATAAAAATATTAACTAATTCAAATTGGTAGAAAAAAGTTTATTCAACAAGAGGACAAGAGTAGATGAAGATTTCATGTAAGGTCTTTTAGGTCTCTCTTATATAATACATAGGCAAGTATTAATAATGATCTTTGCCATCACTGGCAAAGTTATGTTAGATCAACTAATTGATAGAGTAGTGATGGAAGGTATAGGATCAATAACAATGATATATAGAAGATAATGAATTTGCAATAAGAAGGGCCAAGAATTTAAAAAATGTGGTAAGTTTTCTTGGAAAGAATTGAAAAATAAAAAGAACGCTTTAATAAGTACCACTATATAAGAATCAAGTTCCATATTGCCTCCAATGTTACTAACACCTTTGACCACATCTACTAATGATATAGATAATAATGGTTTAAATTACAAAATTAATGGATTTCTTGATTGCCAATTATATACTGTATCCAAAAAATTGCTTCCAAAGCAAATTGAAGTTTGTGAAAAGTGGCTTCAAATAGAATCCACAAAGAAAAAACTTAAAAATGAGCTTGAAGCAAAAAATAAAGCATATACATGCACTTGAGCTTATATTCTTAAAATTTTGCAAGTTGGTTTGTCACAACAATTAAAAATTATTATTGCTTTAAGTAATCTTAAGGCTGAAGTATACAATAGATTGAACTCAACATATGTTGCATTAGCAAATAATCTATATCCAATGTCTTTGTCATTGGGTCTTTGTTTAGAAAACAAAAGAGAAATATTATAAATGTGTGTTTTTTTTTTTTTTTTTTTTTTTTTCTCTTCAAAATTCATGCTTCATAATTAGATGTCTAGTGGCTTTGTGACCATTGCCTGTTAGGATTATACCTACTACTATACAATACTTTTAAGAATATAAAAACCAAAAACAATTATCAAAACTCTATATTTTTTTGAATATATTGCAACACAATTAGAAAGTTTATCAAAGTTTTGGAAATTTTCATAGATTTCAAGAAATATAAGCATAATGGCTATAAGCTTCAAATGTCTTGCTAGTTTATTTTCAAATGAATCATAGTACAATTTCAGCACTTGCTTTAATCAAGCACAGATTATATATTTTAAAAAAAATAATAAATCAAAAAGCATTAAAGGATATTTATTTCTAATCTCATAAGTCTCAAAATGCCAGTTATAATGTAACAATGTATAGTGCATGTTAATAATATATTAATATATAGAATTTTTTCTTAAGTCTTTTTTTAGTAATAAGAAAATCCACAAGAATTCATCTCTTTATATGAAAATTGATTATATTAGTAAATCTATCTAAAACCATTTAATTTTATAGATTAAATAATTTTAACAATATAATATCTTTAAAGGTAGACAAAACCAAGGTAATAAGAACCAATGATGAAAGAAGTACAACCAAATTTTCATATAAAGAGATCATTATTTGGTAAAGATGGCCAAATTTATTCATTATTGATAGAAGTAAAAAAATTTAAATGAGATTATTATAAATTTAATCACAAGCTTTTTAATAAATAAAAAACACATAGTATTATTTACAAGCTAAAAATCAAATTAAAATTATTAATCAAAAAATTATTAATAAATTATAAAATAATATTTAATTTCAAATACAAATAGAATAAAAGGCCTAAAAGAATTGAATACAATTAATGGAATTAGTTTCAAATACATCAAAGCTATCAAAATTTGATTAGCTAATATTAACTTAAGATTAACACAAAAAATAAAGAAATGGCCTAGCTTAAGCATTCTTTTGCAAGTACTAAGAAAATAAAGAAAAAAACATAAAAAGAATCACTATAAAATTAAATTAAATGCAAAAGAAGAAAAAAGAAGTATAAAAAAAAAGTGGTGATTATATTGGGAAAAAAGACTATCAAGCTAGCACTAGAATTAAGTGGCTCAAAGCTTTCTATCTGAGAACATTATTTTTTGTTTTCCACATGCTAAATCTATGCCATAGTACCAAATTATTATGTTATAAAATCAAAAATGGCAATGAAGTAGAAGTTTAAATATATCCTAATTGTTGAAAAAAATCCACTAGCCAAAAATAAACATGTATATGTTGACTTTGAGTTGACTTTGAGAGATTTTGAGAATATTTTTTTGTAGGTTTTAGCAGCTTTAGTACTTAGTTTGGCAAAATTGCAGTTACAAGTATGCGTTGAATTATATCTTAGTAAAATAACTAAATTTTGTACATTATGATGCAAAGTTGTTGCCCCTACTACCTCTTGACACCTCCAATAGATTATTTGATAAAATTGTATACAAGCTTACCACAGTTCTCATATTGTAAATAAAAAGAATAACAAAGAACAAAAGAAAAAAAGAGCATTAATTGGCCTTGCGAAGAAATAATTTATTCACAAAGTTACTAGATTATCAAGAAAGATGTTGAAAAATATTGATAATGACTTCGTATCAGAAAATCCAAAAAAAAATTCTCCAAAACGAACTAAAGAAGGACCGATTGCACAATTAAACATAATAATAAAAAAAAAACAAAAAACAAAAAAACAAAAAACAAAAAAACAAAAAAATAAATAGAGAGGCGAAATATCATCGTGGCCGTTGCTCGGCAACGGCCACGATACGGCCCCGACGGCTGCTTCAACCACCTCAGACATGGCCATGGCCACAGGCGCAGACAGCGTCGCCATAGCCACGAAGTGTGTCTCGTCTCGTCTCGTGTCGCAGCGTTTCGTCGGGTGGAGGCAGAATTCGAAGGGGTTGGGTGGTGAATTGCTGGGGTCTACGATGGTACGGCAACAGTATTTCATTTTTTTGGTTGAATTTTGGAAGGATTCGTGAGTAGGGGAAGCATGGGGAAGTAAATAAGTTAGGGAGGGAGGCGAAAGGGGGGGGGGGGGTTTAGGGTTTTAGGAAGAAGTCATGGTGGAAGGGAAGGAGGAGAAGAAGTGGAAAGCCACCACCGGGGGGGAGAGCAGACGGAGTGCGCAAAGGATCAAGCGTGTGCTGGCGGACACGACCCCCAAGCACTTGGAGCAGCTCACGAAGCAGGCGCGGATGTTGGTAAGGGACGACGATGTTGGTAAGGTCCCTCCTTTCCAGGATGATTCTTCCATGGGTGTTATTCGAAGGAAGCTCGGGCATCTGCTGCGGCGGCACTGCATCCTGCGAGACAAGCTTACGAACTTTAATCCGCCCCGGAAGTGCCTCGTTGCGCAACTGCAGGTCGGGATTTGTGAGAGTTAGTCGTTTTTAAAATAAAAATAAATTAATTAATTAATGTCCCCTAGCTGTCTTGATTATTTATAATTATCGGAAACTTTCTCCAAGTGTTTCAACTGTGCATTTTTTTACGGTACAGACAGAATTTGAAAAGGATCCAGAAGGCAAGCGTTTGGACGGGGATGAGTGGAATGATAGTGTAATTAACGAGCTTCAACAAAGAATTTATAGTAGTGACGCTGCTCTTAGTTTGCGAGATGATCAAGAATTTAACAGTGTAATCAGAGGTACGACGTGACAGATTTTCTCATCGTTCTTTATGCTCTCTGCTCCGTAGTTTTCCTGTTATAACTTTGAATGACCTTGCTCTGGTCTCTAGGTGAAAGGGAGTGGGTTCCTTCAGGAGAGGATATCGCTGAGAACCTGACTCTTTTGGTTAATCGGAAGGTTATACGAGGGATGAAAGGCGGATATGTTGTTATACGTTTCGATACAACCTTTGAAAACAAGAAGTTTGAGAGCTACTACTGTGTGTTGAAGAGCAATTCGCCAATGGATGAACTACATGTTATTGAGCATTCTATACCTTTCTTTCTACCGGTGCAAGAGCTGGAGAAGCAGCATTTGGGAAAGAGTTCCAAATTGTTCTTCGACCACATGGGCAACGTCTTACAAGCCTACATTTCAAGACGTGAGCAGGTGCGCCTGCATGTGGTCGAGACTATTGCAAAGTAAGGATTTGAAAAGTTTTATGAGCCGAAGAGGCGTGCTTGCTGTACACAAATTGATAAGGATGGTTACTTGCTAGCATGATTCCAGCTGGTATCTTATTCATTAGGACTATTACTTGCTATCTGACCAGTATAATCATCTCCGCAGGTGAATGAGTTGAAGAAACGTAAGGGAGATCTTATAGGGGAGCTGTATCACAGCCTGTCCTACACATTGATTGAAATCATGCTAAAAGAACCTGGATGGCAGGTATTTCTTTCCAATAACTCCTATAGATTCAGCGTTTCGCTTGAAATGTTTTGGTTGCATATTTGGGTTTGTGATCGTCTTTAGCGAAGTGGTTGGTATAATAATAGCAATGCGGTTCTTTTGGATGCTGAAAATGCTGTTTTTGATCTTATGATATGTTGATGGAAGCTTAAGATTCGGTTTATCTGCAGGTGGGAATGAGCTTGGCATATCACAACTCGGATTCAGAGCTTCCAACACAAAGTAACATCACCGTATGGCCGTTGGTTGCTCACCTTGTTTCTCAAACTGCCAAAAATTCAGGAAGGGGTGTTCAGAAAAATGCTGCGGCTTTCCGTTTGCCTATAAATGAAGCTTTGTTTAGAGCAATGCCTTTACCCCAAGTTTGTGACGAGCTTATTATTGACTTGAGGGATACCCTTGGCTTGTCACCTCTAGAACAGGCGATTGAAGCTCCATCTGCGTCAACGCAGTCACCAATGGAGATAGAAATAGAGGCGCCAATGGAATTTTCTCAAGAAGCACCTCATTGATATTGAGATCATATGCGTAGTGTTTGTTTTTAACATACATGAATTTTGGGTGTTATGAATGAAAACATGTGGTTAGGCTTGAAGTTGGTAGATGGTGAGTACTAGATTTTGCCTCTCAATCCACCCACTTTTTGAGACTTTAACCATTCTACTTTTGAAAATCTCTCGAAAACAATAGTTAGGAATTATTTGGTTATCCTAGTAAAATGTAATTAGTTATGAAAATTTTGATTATCGTGAGTCACTCTGCATGCTAGATTTGTTTTGGTTCGAAGCCCAGAACCTCTTCTCTTGTACCTTGTCAATAGTACCTTCTAAAGATGATTGCTAAAACTGCCTTCTCTCTACCTTGACTGAGAACGTGCGTCTCATATTTTTCTCATAACTACCTCAACTTGATCCGTGTATTAATGCGATATTGTGAGTTCTGCATCGAACCGTGCATGCGTAAGTGTAGGAAGTTTGCAGTAATTTTAGTTAATGTAGTATTCTAGATGTAGTAAGAATCAAATTCATAAAAATGATAGAATACCCTAAACCCCAAGCATCATATAGATGGTGTTGAACATAATTCGACCTCATCAAAATGGATGACTAAGTACCATGTTGGATGGCCAGAGCAGTGTTCATTCATTACTGTTTCCACCATCCCTTTTGTTAGCTGTAGATTTTGGCCATGTTCTATATATACACAGACTCACTTTGAGGGGATTGGCGGAAGTGCGTTTGCAGTAGTTTCGAGTTCAAAGAGTATCGGCGACGAGTCTGCTGTGAAGATACAGCGATTTGCGCCGACCGCTTAGAGTATGATCGAGAAATAATTTCTGGAAAGGAATTCAGGCGCCACTTACAACTAGTCCGCATCCTATGTCAGTCGCAGAGAGAAATATAGCGAAGAATTTCTGGAGATACAATCAGAGACGACAATCTGCAGAAACGGTAAACGCATGCCGGCAGTGGGGCAGTTTATAAACTAGCTGTTTGCGACGGTGGTCTCAAACCTGATTGCGCCGCCAGTCGTTACGAGACAAGGTGAACCCACGTAAGGTAAAAATCAAGTCAGGAATACTGAGACCCATCAATTTTCCATCTCGTGCTCCGAAAGTCTAAATATCTAGTGGTAATCAAGTGAAAGCGGTAGCGTTGTTGAGGGTAAGAAAGAAGGCGGAGGCAATAGCACCACACGTTCTTATTGTCCCGTTTTGACATTCTCAGTTCAGAGAAACGGAGATTCGTTTTACTTATCGTTCTGTTTCTGATCCAGTAAGTTCACTTAGGTACATGGATTGGCATCGGTTTACCAGATCGTCCTGCTAATCACGTCATTGCTCGACTCCATTGAGATCAGCCAACTTCATTAGTTCCCGATTACCCTTGGCAACTCAGATTGTGATTTTTGGAACTTGTCACTCCTGTTCAGAGGAGATTCCAGTCGACGTCTCACCTACGAGATGGTCAGCGTCTAACCCTGTGTTCCTTGCTGTTCACTGGGTAATGATAAACGCAGGCGCTGGAAAAAGACTACAAACTAGTTCCTGATGCCTGCTCAACTTGTTCATGGACTGAAACATGAGGCAAGGAAGCTTTGGATACAATTATAGAACATTTACAGGAAAAAAATGATGATTACAATCTTTTGGTATGATAATGATGCCGTTGATGGAGAACTGGAATAGCCCACTTCAACCACTGACTAATGCTCCTGACTGCACAATCTCCCTAAAAAGGGGATCTGGTCCAGGAGATTGGATACGGAGGCTTCTGGCGACTAGAACTAGCTGCAATGCAAATGGGCTCGTTCACGAGAGCATAGAACCTGCAAAATGGAAACACCGCCGTCACTCTCCAGAATTGTACCCTGGTAGCATTCCTCTTGCGCTTCAATACTGCCATATCATTTTTGTCCTCAGTACCTGCCGATCAAACCCCTCGGCTTTAATATACCTTCCAAATACAAGTTTCTGATGACTGCTGGGAAAGTCCTTTTAGACCTAAAGTCCGGTGAAGTCAACAATGAATCGTTTCGCAGTCAAACGAAAAAGATAAGACGATCAAAATCGTAAAAGTTATAGAAACCCATCACACACGCACGTCAGATGAGAAGACAATAGTGTAATTCACCACCTTCATAGATCAACGAACAAACTCAATAGTTTCTTTTAAAATTTAAGGAACAAAACTATGAAATAATAAATCTTTCTGCAGCATCATTTTAGGCAACAGTCTCATACACGACTGGCTAGACTTACCTGGCTGTCAATCCTTGTGGCTGAGCCTAATCGCCACCCCAATTACAGCTCTGGAGCTACGTCTATCACCCCACCCCGATGCCCATCGCTGGAACCAAATCCTCAATCCGGGACACTACGTCGTTTCTATCCACGGGCATCCCACCCATGCCTCCATCTCCTCGATCCACGTCTCCTATCACGGACCCATCCGATCTCAATCCCGGTGCTAGTGCTGCTAGGCTCCACCCAACGTCGCTCACTCTCGAGCCCATAGCATGCATCTCATGGACATCTTCCTGCAGACAGCAGAAATCGTTTTGAAACGACTTCAACCGAAAACATCAATCTCAAGAATGCACAACTGTCATGAAGGGCTCATTCCGATCTGTAAATTCCAACACACAAACACAAATATATACAAAAGATCCAGGCACTGCCAACTCTTCTTGGATCATTGCCCAGATACTCTCTCCAGTCTCTGTAGAAAACTCTCCACACTGAAACGTGCTCCATACAGCACTTCTGAGGGGAATCAGGAGTAACTCAGGATACTGACCACGGCGCGCTCCTCCATGGAATGCTCGTTCTCGTGGGAAGTGTGATACATAGCTTGTCCTTCTCTAATGTCTAGGGGCTTCAGCAGCTTCGGATAGTGCATCCCATCGGCCAATGCCTTCCCCATCGATCCCCACTCTCTCGGATCCCCTTCCACATCTAGTTCCTCTCCTTTTCGTCTTCGCTTCCTGCTTTTGCTCACGTCGGGTTTTCTGGTCAAGTCTCTGCTGATTTGCGACTCCTTCTCTAGATTCAGATACAACTCCTTGACCTTCTCCGCGATGATCCGTGGTAGAGCCGATTGTGGTAATGCTGATACACACGAGGAGATATCGTCAGTCCTTCCAGTAATACCGCCTTCTACCTTAACCTTGATATTATGCCACACAGCCATTTCGCATCCGACGCGACCAGGATATTCCAGGATTCCAGGATATTGCAGTGGCAAAGGACAACTTTGAGAGTGTTTCCACGTTTTTCTCATGAATTGGTTGTTGGAATGAAGGGCCGTTAACATCCCAAGTAGACGGAAATCCTTAACGTGGAGTGTAAGTGTCCCTGAACGTGCTGTACATGACTTGTTCAGGGAGTCGCACTCATATCAGTCCTTACTCTTGTCAACTCCTTTTTAGTGTGGCTTTTACGTCTGGGAATCGCTTGCGGGTTAAAACTATTCAACTGCCTGGGCACAACATTCAAGCTTCACCAGCGCTACACAAAACTGGGAGGTTTGCATGTTCTGGTGAGGTCCGAAATTTTTGTAACAAATCACTGGTAAAGTCTGTATGATCACCCGGAAACTGATTTGCACACACCAAGAAACCAATGTGCAAAGATCTGTTGACATGGTCCATACGAGGATCGTCTCACAGCCATGATCACACTCTTCGTGTTATAGATCTTATGTTTCACTTCACGACTTCTACCTAGCCCCTTGAAATGCAGCACTTATGTAACTCTACTAATACTAGATCGATCTACGTCTTCGGTGAGAAGAATTAATCGTAGAAACCAGACTGTCCATTGTCCTAATTCTCCATCAAAAAACACTTGGCAATCACGAACCTGAATCTACACAGATCATGCTGTGACTAGGGTCCCAGGTGTGAAATGATTAACACTTTTTTCCTTTCTCTGCGTCACAAGCTCACATCCGACCCCATTAATCGCTTTTCGCCGTGCAGCCGCCCACCATCTCCTATCTGCTGCCACTTTCCGTGAAGAAAAGAACAGTTCTTGGTACTCACGTCATGGAATTTGACACTGCAAAGGTCTGAAACACTTACATTGGTCGGTGTTTCGAACGGCTCGAGCCAATTCCTGCCAGGCACTTCCGAGTTGCGTCATGAGCCCCGAAATGTGCACAACAAGATTATACAAAATCTTGCTGTTTCCTTCTTCGATGCTTGAAGAGCCGATCATGCGCCGATCGACTGAAGAGGTCAAGCCTTCCTGTGGTTGGTAGCCTGCCCTTTCCGTCAGCCATTTCCGAATCACGCGACCGCTTGGAATGTTGATGTTGTCCTTTTCTTTATGCACGAACTTTCTGTGGGTGATCCAATGCTGTCGATTTGAGAGTGACTTATTCTTGTCTATGCAAGGCGGAAGCAAACAGAAGTACCTCTCTTCGTTGTTCACCACTCGGACATCGAACTCGCGGTAGACTTCGCTCTTCAGGTCCAGCTCCATTGCTGAAGAGCCTGCAATGCGCAGACACCGAGATGGTGGAAAATACTGAAAAAAAGAAAAAAGAAAAAAGAAAAAGAAAAAAAAAAATGACCAGACAAACAAACTACACTTCTTGTAATGGTGTCACGGGAGCTCTCTTTCTCGACTACGGCGAAATCCAGAATTACGTTCGTGAAAGCCCCGGCCCCCTCCCCTGAGACTGACGGAAGGCAAAGCCAGCACCTTGAGTGACCTTGTTAATTCCCTTCTACTTCTTCTGCTTCTGCTTCTTCGTCGGCTTCGTCGTCGTCGTTGTCGTGGTGCGCTAGTTGTCGTCGTCGTCCCCCTGGTCCTGCTATGGCTGCTTCGTCTTCTGCTGCTAGCGCAGATGTTGCATCGATGTGGTGTGACTAGTGGGGGGATGAGGCCACGATGCATGATCTAGGGGGCACCATGCATCAGCGGAGGCCCTGCTGTGGAGTCTCCATCTCCATCTCCATCGGGCATGCGCAGCACCAAACGATGGATGGATGAGGGTGGGGGGTGGTGGTGGTGGTGTTGGGTTCCTGCCTGCCTTCGTGCCTTCCTTTCCTCTCCTTTCCTTTCTTTTCCTTTCGTGTTTCGTTCGCTTGCTTTCCTCCTGAGGATGCGGGCTAGCAAGTTTTTGACTTGACCCCCTTCTTCCCAGTCATGAATGAGTGAGAGACTGAGTTGAGTGAGTGAGTTGAGGGAGTGAGTCTCCCTTTGCTGCCGTGCCGTAATGGCAGTTGGTGGTCTTCCTTCCTTCCCTCCCTTCTTTTCTTTCTTCTCACAACTCACCACTGACTGTGAGCCCCCCTCCCTCCGTTCCCTTCATCCATCCATCCATCCCGCACGCTCTCGCACTGACGCACTGACTGACGCACTCACTCACACACTCCTTCACTATCTCTCTGACTGACACACACACACAGTTGAGGGAGGGGGAGTGGTGGGTGACTGACTGTCTGACACTACATCACCCCCCCCCCCCTCCCTCCTATACCCCTCTCTCCCTCTCTCTCTCCCGCTCCTGCTCCTCCTCCTGCGGTGACGCTGCCTCTCTCTCAATCACTCTCTCACTGCATGCAAGGTCACGCCATTTCTCATGAAATGGGGGAAAGGAAGGAAGAGGAGGGAGGGGATGATGCCCTTTCGTCCTCTTTCCCTTCTATTCTTCTCATTCCTCTATTTAACTTCTTCGTAGTTAGTAGTCCGTCAATCAGTCTCTCTCTCTCTCTCTCTCTCTCTCTCTCTCTCTCTCCCCTCCTCCTCTTGCTTATCTGGCCCCATTACTATGCCCATTAGCGTTGTCCCTCCTCTCCCCCATTTCATGCTCTAAGTCCACCGAATCTCTAATGCTAAAATCTTGTATGAACATATAGTTTGTGCAGGATTATTGGGTGCTTGTGTTGTGCTCTGCTTGTTGAAAGTTTGTAAGTCCAGTGATTAGGTCTGTTTTGCATGTGTTGCATTCTGAATGGTGGAGCTATTAGCTTTACTGCGATTCTTCTTTGGAGAGAATCATCCATTTTGTTTGATGCTTTTGCAAGCAACAATTGTTCACAAAAAAAAAACACATCCATGGTTGTGCAGGGAAATCAATTGATATTTATGTGTGTGTGTGTGTGTGTGTGAATATATATATATATATATATATATAACTATTACTAAATGTATTCATATTCATATCAAATAAAACATGAGAATGTACTGCTTTGTTACTATGCCGTAAAGCCACTACAATAGTTCAAAACTGTACAGAATCATGTGTGTAGATGATTAACATAAATAAACATGCTTCTGGAAGTAACTTTTTTTTTTAAAAAAAAAACAATATTCTTTTCCCATGAAATTTATTTTCTTCAAATGGTTTAGTTTAAATAAAAAAAGATTGAAGAATATTTAAACCAAATTTTAAGAATTTTAAATTCATACAAAAGACACTTTTATTTCTATAATTCCTATAATGATTTAGTAAAAACTTAGATTAAGTTCAATCATTCATAAGTATAGTTGATTAATTGAGTGTATAATCATAAATAAGTTTGCAATCAAATTAATTCATATTTTTAAATATTACTTATTAAATATGAATTATAAATTCCAAAATCAATATACAATCCTTAAAGTCATCTCTATACCAACTCATTTTTTTGGTGATTTTACATAAATTGTGCATATGAAATATACAAAAGCTTCAACAATAACATATTACAAAGGTAAATTAATTAATTCTTCAGATGAAACTAGTATGGTTCTTATATAAGTCTGTAATTGATATATATATATATATATATATAGCAATTTAATATTAGCAATTCTGCATGAGCTGTAATAATAAAAGAGAAAACATATTGGAAAATATGTACTTATGTACATATATTTGTGTATGTATAGGAATATATATATACACACACATGAAGTGCATGTTGACATTTTTTTTTTTTAATTGTAAATCTTTTAAAGTCAACTTTGGAGTCCTTCTATTCATTTCTTTTTGGCATTGTCAACAAGTCCAGCTTTTTACGTCAAGACATCATTGTCACGTACATGGCTTATCTCACAAACCTAAAACTCTCAACTACTTGTTTCAACCACCTGTCTACTAATAAATATCTTTATTTTCTAAATCAATAATATATTTAATTACACATGCACATTAATTCTGAACCCCCTGCCCCAAAAAAAAAACAAAAAATAATTAAAACTATTAATTCAACTTTAAACTCATTTCCGTAACATTCATATATTTATAAATTCATTTGCTTCTTTTTAATTTTCTTTCATTATTATATTCATGCAAGCCACTTATCGTACAAAAGTAAAACATGTAGAGCCCTAAGATACACCCTAAAATATGCACAAGTGGGTCCCTTCCATGTTAATTTTCTACGTATGGTAAGAAAGAAGAAAAACAATTAATAAATGGAAAGAAAGAAGAGTAAGATGAGGTCATACAAAGAGGGCGACGTAAGCAAAGGAGGCCATGTCTTTGGGGGCATTGAAGAAGTGGGTGATCTAAAGAGCAACTTCCACATATTAAAAACAAGAAAGGGGGGGGGATCAAATCATGCCACGATTTCTCATATTTTGTGGAAATGAAAACCCACAATCGAACATGGCCTCATTGTTGATGATGTGATTATGCCCTCATATACAATGCAACTTCTCTACCTGTCATTAAATGAATGCCCATGTGTATCTAATGTTTCACTTGGTGATGGTGGTGCTCCATTTTCAATTAAAGTGTTTTAGAGACCCACAACAAAAATTACAGTTTTTTGTTTTTTGTTTTTTTTTTTTCTTCTTATTGATTGTCTTTTCTGGGTTTGTGTTTATGTGTTTCTTTCTTTGAAATTCTTGAAAACAGCTTCAAAAGGAAGTTGAAATCTGCAGAAACTGTTGTACTCTTCATTTTAGTTGTGAGTGTTTCCAGTAGACCCAAGTTATAAAAATCATGCTTTGCTACTATATGTTTTTAAATGCAATGATTTTTAGATAATATTATTGATAATGAGAATAGAAGTAAGAATAATCTAAACTGTTTGTAGCAACTGTGAACTTTAACTAATTTAAGCCAAACCTATTCATTCTTTCCTGTCAATTCCTTAATTTTATATTCCTTAAAAATGTATAATCTAGTCACTTTACCTTTTTCTGTAATTTTATGTTGATAAAGATTTGGTTGTAAAATTCAACGTAAAAATACTAAAAAAGAAAAAGAAAAAGAAAAACACAAACACACAAAACAAAACAAAAAAATTGTTGATAACTGCTGTTACTAGATCTAAATATTTGTTGCAATACTTGCTGCCTTTAATTCCTAAATTTTAATGCTAATTTTTCATTGTGGTGTTAATTTGTCATTACTCCTGTGACATGCAACTTAGTGGATTGTTTTCCAATATCATTTTCTGTCATTTATAACATAGTTAGGTAAATTGAAAGAATTAATTCTCACAGATTAATATGAATTAATTATCAGTTTAAAAACAATGTTGTCACCTTCAGGAGCATGATTTATTTATTTGGTATCATGTATGTATGTACTATATATATATATATATATATACACGCACACTTTTAATAGTATTGAACTATATCCTTAAGTTATATTATATTACTATTTTAATAATAACAAGGTCTATACCTGAATAACTGGTTGATAAAAGTTTGCATGAACTTGGTTCTTGTAGACTAGGCTGGTGGTTAGTATGTATGCCATAAAGAGTTCATAACATTAAATTGTGAACGTCATTAATTGAGTAATGCAGAAGTTTATTATTTTTCATTAACAGTAGTTTAATTTATAAAATAGAGTACTCATGGTATTTGTTTTACCAGGCACGATGGCTTAATTCTTTGAAATTATTCTTTGCTGATTAGATGGATGTACAAGAACATTTTGTAACATGATACCTGAAATATTTGAGGCTATACTAGAATTTTAAACTAAGGTTTTAAGATTTTAATCATTTTTTGACAATTTTGGAAGAATAAATTTATGATATTTTCAGTCACTAAAAAGCACTTAATTTTGTAATTTTATTTTTGTATAAAATACCATTCGATTTACATAAATTCCTATATATATTTTAATAATAAATATGTATTTAAATAATAAATTAACCCTTAAGTTATTTTTTTAATTAGCCAGTTTTCTTGATAAATTGATTTAAAATCTAAAACATTTCATGAGAATTGTATTTGAATCTTATTTCATGAAACACTTTACATATTATACAGTTGTATGGAAACTTTTAAATATCCAAAATACATTAAAATAACCATTATTTTTTAGCATCTCAATATGTAAAACTTTTATCAATTCAAGAGATATACTTACAAAATTTTCTTTTTTCTTTCATGAAAATCTATAACATATTAAAATAAATATACAGACAATATTAATCGATAAAAATTTTCAGCTTAAAATTTTTCCACAATCTGCAATATTCGTTATTAAGAGTTCATTGATTTCATAATTTTTGGAGATTAATGAAATAGACAAGTATTTTGAAAGCATTTCTTTCTTATAAGATTTTTACAATTAATTTTAAATAAAAATAGACTTGCCAATCATGAACATATATTTTTGAAAATTAGTTCATTATTGTTCGTAAATTGAGAATCACATTATAGAGATTGTGGACTTCAAAATACTAAGCACAGAAACATAATATTATATGGAACTATGCTTCTAAAATTGTTTTGGTATTTATATATATATATATATATATATATATATAGGAAACATTATTTATGGCGTGTGGCTGGTTTTAGCTTATCTTTTATTGAAAATTTTATTTATTTATTTATAACTATGTTGCTTCAGGTTTCACCTATCAATTAAACACAATAAATGACTCAAATTAAATATCCATGATGAATGATTTACAAGACTTTTGAGTATAAATTACAGATATATATATATATATATATATATATAGTTTCTTTTGCCATATGCACAATACTTTAGTCTCCTATTATTTCAATGTTCATTTTAATGTTACCATGAGTATTGTTTCTAAAAACAATGCATAAGACGTGGAAGTGCATATGAGATACAAACTAGAAGTAGATCCAATATAAGAAATCATGTTTCTGTTAAATCATTAAATCCAAATGCAAGTTATAACTACAACTGGTAGACTATTTGTTCACATGGTATTTCTGTACTACATTACTTTTCATTTGTTCATATAAATTTTGTTTCTTTTCATGTAAGCAGAAATAATTTCATGTAAGTGTAATTGTTTTTATAACATACATCTGTAATAAAGAACCTTCAAAAAATACATTTTAAACATCTAATAAGATCTTACGATGTATCTTTAATACATTTGTAATTTTAGAAAGATCTACAACTCTTGTTGTATCAAAATAATAACATGATTTACTTTAGTATATATAAATATACATATAAATATACCTATTTTAAAAATTAAAAAGTCT